TCTGTTACATTTTGCAGTCATTCTAGAAAGAAAAAAGGGTAATTTAAACTTATTTCCTAATTTTTTATGGGGTTACAAAGTTGGTCAAATTGATCAACTGGTATAGAGTTAGGGTAGAGAAAATAGCATATAAAATATACAGTTTTTCTGAAAAAACAAAATACAAAAAAATTCAATATTTATTTAGGAGGTTTTTGAAATTACACAAATGAAATTTTAAAATTTTCAGATGAGAACATTTTTTTTTTAATCATAACACAAAAATCACTTTGCACTTAAAGCATACAACACTCTGACTACGACACTTTCTCTAACTGAAACAATGTGTGTTTCTGACCAGTTTAACACTATTTCTAACTAACACAGTTTGGATTTCTTATCAGTTACACTATTTCTAACTGACACAATGTGGGTTTCTGATCAGTTTAACACTATTTCTAATTGACCCAGTGTGGGTTTCTGATCAGTTTAACACTATTTTTAACTGACCCAGTAAGGGTTTCTAATAACATAACATTAAATGACAACAAGGGACCTTTTGGACCATCTAGTCCATCCTATTCACTAAATTAAACTAAATACAAAAAACTCAAAGCCAGCCATTATCATTCAAATACTTATGAAGCATTCACTTAAACTCCCTTAAATTAACTGCATCCACCACATCTGAAGGCAACCAAAGGCCAACCAGACCGTAGAAAACTGAAGCTGTTTTAGCTGAAGATGACTCTTTCACTGCCAAACTTTATATTTGTTTTCCACTCTTACCATTAGATATGAAAAAAAGATGAAGCATTAACACTAACAATATTAAAAAATCTCAATCATATCCCTTCTAAATCTTCTTTAAAAAACAAACAAAAAACACTGATCCTAATTTTTTGGAATAGGCTTACGTATTTTACACAACTTCGTAACTACTAAGTAACTAACTTGTAACCATGAAGGTATACTTACTGTAACTCTTAAAGTGCTTAATGTATTTTCACAAAATTTGGCAAGCATTTAGTAAACATTACAAGTCTTTTGTAGACAAAAAAATCTGAATTTTTAATTATTTTTACTAAATATTTGTCCATATATATATTGGGTGATTAGTTTGCTCTGAATACAGGTGTGATGGATACTTTTGAATACTGGGAGTGATCACTGGTTATTTTTTGCTGAATACTTGGGTGGTGGGTTATTAGTTTCATCTGAATTTCTGGTTGATATATTAAAGTGATATGAGAACGATAACAAAAATTACACTTACTAACTATTCAATGAATCTTCTGAAAATATGAATTAATTTTGTTAATGCTTATTGGATTTGTGTATGTACAGTACAGAGACTACTAGATGCTGGTGTTGATCCTTGTGCAGCTGATGAAAGACAAAGAACTTCTCTTCATTTTTCTGCTTGTAAAGGAAATGTAGAAATATGTGAGTTGAATTTCATCGTTTGCTGAGATTAATATGGTCTTTGTACATCTTGTTATTGAATGTTAATGAATACCAATTATATAGTCTTCCCATCAAAACGTAAATTTTGGATTGTTTAATTCTTCTCGGTTAATAGCTTATTTGTCAGGTAATGAAGAATGTTTTTATTGTCAGTGAATACCTTGTGTATCATTTACTTTAGCAATTGTATGACTTTTAAATTGTAGTATAACATTTTTTTTTAATACTGTTATGAAAAATGCTAGTGCTACGATATTGCTTTATATTATTAAATCACTTACATCTTTTTAACAATGACAGAACAAAGACAAAAATTTCACTACAATAAAAATGTTTACACAATTACTAGGTACAAAACCTTAATAAAGACTTTATCTATAGGAATTTATAAGTAAGAATGTATCTGTAAGGTGAGGACTAAATCATGTCCTTAACTAGTTCATGTTGTTGGTATGAACAAAACAAGATATTTTCAACAACCTAGAAGATTATTACCTTGTATGATTGTTTAAGAACTTGAATGCTTGTGCACTATATACTCTAAAATTACTGTTCAAGTCATCAGGTTTTGAAACTGTTTATACACCAAATTACTGTAGTTTTATGCCTTTGTTGGCTGTAGAGTGAATTCCTAATAACATAAGTTACACTAAAAAAATTAAACTGCTGGAATATTTCAGGTAATCTACATAAAAAAGAAAGAAAAACTGAATTATTGCACTTGATGTCTTTCATCAGTTCTTTATGCTGACTGTTGTAACAAGCAAAAACAAAATTACTTTGTATAATGCATTGTGGATAACAGTATAAAAAACAAGCTGATAAGTTTTCTTGTTATCTCAAATGCTCATTTTGTATAAACAGGCAAGTTGCTGTTGGAGAGAGGGGCAAATCCAAATCAGAGGGATGTAATAGGAAATACACCTTTACATCTAGGTAGGTTTTTAAATTGGTTTATTTTAAGTATGCAAAATAACATTTTACTTTTTAAAATAAAATTAATCTGTATAGTAATAACTTTCTTTGAGGAATTAATAATTCAAGATTCACTATTTGATTGCTAAATTGCTTTTTTTTTTCCCAAGTTTACAACATTTCAAAACAAAATTTGTTTTACAGCTGCTTGTACAAGCAACATTGAAATAGTGACCCTTCTTCTTAAAGCTGGTAAGTGATTAGACTTTGCCATTATAATAACATATGGTTTAATATTTTAACTGTCAGAATGAATGACACTTATCAAGAGAGAGCCAAAGATTGTAAAGATTAAACTAAGGTTTTAACTAGTAATATATATGCTTCCCTAACAACAAAGAATAAAAATTTAAGTGTCACAGTGTTTGTCACCTAGCAACATAGAGCAAGGTAATTTTAACACTATTTTTAACTGATCTAATTTAAATATCTGTTAATTTTAACACTACCAACTGACCCAGCATGGGTTCCTGATAATTGTATCTGTTTCTAATTGATCCAGTTTGGATATCTGTTAATTTTAACACAATTTCCAACTGATCCAGTGTGGGTTTCTGACCAGTTTAACACTATTTCTATCTAACACAGTATGTGTTTCTGATCAGTTTAACACTATTTTTAACTAACACAGTGTGGGTTTCTGACCAGTTTAACACAATTTCCAACTGATCCAGTGTGGGTTTCTGCCCAGTTTAACACTATTTCTATCTAACACACTATGTGTTTCTGATCAGTTTAACACTATTTTTAACTAACGCAGTGTGGATATCTGATAATTTTTCACCCAAGTATTCAGCAAAAAATAACCAGTGATCACTCCCAGTATTCAAAAGTGATCATCTGAGAATGAAACCTACTACTTAAGCTTCAATGAAACTTAATATCACAAAGGTAATTTGATGCATGTAAAAGTTTTAGTAAATCATCAAACACAATGGGTTTTTCCTGACATGTCATATCTGAAAACAAAAACATTAAAACATTTAATTTCTGCAGACTTTTAAAGGAATAAACCTAAATTTATTTGTCAACCTTATAACTTGTCTGTAAATTCTTCTAATAAATAATAAAATATTTTGCTGAAATAAACAGAAAAAACACCTGAAGATAAAAAACAAGGTGTTTATATTACACCATGCCAATCCTGTGAGAAATGTTGTGTAGGCTTTGTTTCTTAAACTATGTGCATTTATGAAAGTTCTTATGAAGTTTCAAACAATTTCATCCATTAGTTTTATTGTTGGAATGAAATATAGCAAGACTTGCATTGGCTACTAAGAAAGTTTTCCATATTTTGCCAGTTACATGCCAACTATAAGCCAGTGATTCAAACACCTCATGATCTGAATTAGAATGTTTGACATCATAAAACATTCATGATAGAATATGAGTAGGACAATTTAGATAACAGAGAAATTATAAAAGTACTCAAATAAAAAAAAAAAGTGATTTTTGTTAGAACATTATTTCTATAAGTGAAAGTAATAACATTTATTAAGTTTAACTTTTCATTTCCAGATGAAAGAAAACTAAGAATAGCAGCCAACTCGAATAATTTAGAAGCTGGTAAGTGTAGTCCCGTCTGAGATGTCACATTTCTTTTAAAATACATTTTTAATAGTGTTCGGATATTTGTACATGAATCTAAAGTTATTCTTCCTTAATATTTTCTCAAGGGATTCAATGTTAGTGTTGTAGCCAATATAATGTGGTTTCACATTAACATTGGTTGATCTTTATTTATATCTATGGAACAAGGTTTTTCTTGCTTTGAAACGGTAATTTGTAATGAAACATTGTGGAAAATGTAG